GTTTACCTGGGATGTGACAAGAGCTGTCAGCAGACTTCCCTGTCCTGGCAGGAGGGGTCCCTGTCACTCCTTCATGAGTCATTGAGGCTCCTGTGGGCAGAGTCTCCCGGGCTCCACGGGACCGGATCCTGAATGGAAAAAGGGGCCAGGAGAGCTCACGGCCCTGATCCCACACATGTTGAGGTCTCTGGGGAGAGGAGCTAGGAGACAGCAGGGTGCCTGTGTGTGGAAGCAGGGCGGCCGTGGGGCTCGGGGCAGGCTGCGAGTCTGTGCGTCCGTCGCGGCTGCATTGGTGCTCACTGGCCTGGCTTGACCAACATGCTGCCCCTTCGGGGAAGAGCAGTGGCTTTTTGGTGTGTTTCCTATAAAGGGGTGTCTGGCACTGTGGCGCTCCCCTGTAATCCTGCACTTCGGGAGGCCAAGGTGGGAGAATCCTTTGAGCCCAGGGATTGGAGATCGTCTGGGCAACACAGCAAGATCCTATCTCTACAAAATGAAAATTAAAAAAAATTTGTCGGGCGCTGTGGCTCATGACTGTGATCCCAGCACTTTGGGAGGCCGAGGCGGGTGGATCACCTGAGGTCAGGAGTTCGAGACCAACCTGGCCAACATGGTGAAACCCTGTCTCTACTAAAAATACGAAATTTAGACAGGTGTGTTGGCGGTCGCCTGTAATCCCAGCTACTCTGGAGGCTGAGGCAGGAGAATCGCTTGAACCCGAGAGGTGGAGATTGCAGTGAGCTGAGATCACGCCACTGCACTCCAGCCTGGGCAATAGAGTGACTCTGTCGCAAAAAAAAAAAAAAAAAAGGCAAATTGTGAACAATGGGGTTGAGGGTTGGAGTTCCCCGGGCCCTTTGTAGTAGCCCTGCAGCTTTTCTGCAACCTGGAAACTACTTAAAGCAGCCAGGTGTGGTGGTCACACCTGTCATCCCAGCACTTTGGGAGGCCCAGGCGAGCAGATCATTTGAGGTCAGGAATTTAAGACCAGTCTGGCCAACATGGTGAGACCCCATCTCTACAAAAAATACAGAAATACAAAGATTAGCTGGGCGAGATGACGCATGCCTGTAATCCCAGCTACTCGGGAGGCTGAGGCAGGAGAATCACTTGAAGGATCACTGCAAGGTGAGTGGAGATCCAGCCACTGCACTGCAGTCTGGGCGACAGAGGGGCACTCAGTCTCAGAAAAATAAATTAATTAGGCTGGGCGAGGTGGCTCACGCCTGTCATCTCAGCACTTTAGGAGGCCAAGGCGGGTGGATCACGAGGTCAAGAGATCGAGACCATCCTGGTCAACATGGTGAAACCCCATCTCTATTAAAAATACAAAAATTAGCTGGGCATGGTGGCGCGTGCCTGTAATCCCAGCTACTCGGGAGGCTGAGGCAGGAGAATTGCTTGAACCAGGACCCGGGAGGTGGAGGTTGCAGTGAGCTGAGATTGTACCATTATACTCCAGCCTGGGCGACAGAGTGAGACTCCATCTCAAAAAAAAAAGAAATCTGTAGGTTCCTCCTCGTTCCCACTGTTTCCAGCACCTACCTGAGCCCAGCCCACAGTAGATGCTCACCAGCTGTTCCCCTACGGTGCACTGGGTATGGGCCTCACATATGGGGAGATGCCATTGATAACCCACGAATTTGAGGATGACTGTGGGGGAGGGAAAGGGGCTGAGAAGTGGAGTGCAGTGGGGGATGGGGTAGCCCCCAGGAAGGGAGTGGGGCAGCCTCCTAAAAAGCAGGAGAGGGGCTGGGCGTGGTGGCTCACGCCTATAATCCCAGCACTTTGGGAGGCCGAGGTGGGTGGATCACGAGGTCAAGAGATTGAGACCATCTTGGTCAACATGGTGAAACCCCGTCCCTACTAAAAATACAACAATTAGCCGGGCATGGTGCCGCGTGCCTGTAATCCCAGCTACTCGGGAGTCTGAGGCAGGAGAATTGCTTGAACCCAGGAGGCGGAGGTTGCAGTGAGCCAAGATCGCGCCATTGCACTCCAGCCTGGGTGACAGAGCAAGACTGTCTCTAAAAAAAAGCAGGGGTCTGGTCAGGCGCAGTGTCTCAGAGAAACCCTGTGACACTGTACTCAGAGCCAGACTCCATCTCAAATAAAATACAATTAAAAGCAGGGGGAACGGCCAGGCGCTGTGGCTCATGCCTGTAACCCCAGCACTTTGAGAGGTCAAGGTGGGCGGATCACCTGAGGTCAGGAGTTCGAGACCAGCCTCAGCCTGACCAACATGGTCTCTACTAAAAATACAAAAAAAGTAGCCGGGCATGGTGGCATGTGTCTGTAGTGCCAGCTACGTGGGAGGCTGAGGGACGGGAATCGCTTGAACCCGGGAGGTGGAGGTTGCAGTGAGCCGAGATCACCCCACTGCACTCCAGCCTGGGTGACAGAGCAAGACTCTGTCTGTAAAAAAAAATAAAAATAAATAAAGCAGAGAAGGAGAGGGGACTTGGGGACAGGAACTACCAGCAGAGGGTATGGCCTTGCAAGGTCCAGAGGGGTGAACCTGCTGAGCCCACAGAAGGGGGCCGGTGAGGCCGGGGAGGGGTCGGCGAGGTCCAAGTGACTCAGGGCGGGCGGTAGAGAGGCAGAGCGCAGGAGGACTCGGGAGGGGCCGGGGGTCCTCCTGTCTGCCCCGAGCCTACAGAAAACCAGCATGTTCTGCTGCATGCTCAGAGAGGCTAAGCCACTTGTCCAGGGACACACAGCCAGTTTGCGGTTTGGTATCGTTTGAAGCAGGCCTGTTGCTCCTCCTACAGAGTGAAGGCTGGTGCCCGGGCTGGGGCCGGGAGGACTGGGGTTGACTCTCCCAACCTTGCCTCTCCTGGGCTAGGGTTTCCTGGATTCCCAGGGACGGAGCCCATGCGCTCCCTGGTGGTCAGAGCAGGAATGACTGGATTCCCACCGCTGAAAACACGAAGGGGAGAGGGGGCGGTGGCTCAAGCCTGCACCACTTTGGGAGGCCGAGGAGGGTGGATCACGAGGTCAAGAGATCGAGACCATCCTGGTCAACATGGTGAAACCCCGTCTCTACTAAAAATACAAAAAATTAGCTGGGTGTGGTGGCGCGTGCCTGTAATCCCAGGTACTCAGGAGGCTGAGGCAGGAGAATTGCCTGAACCCAGGAGGCGGAGGTTGCGATGAGCCGAGATCGCGTCATTGCACTCCAGCCTGGGTAACAAGAGTGAAACTCCGTCTCAAAAGAAAGAAAGAAAGAAAGAAAGAAAAGACAAACAGGAAGAAAGGAGGCTCAAGTCCCTGTCCCCAGCCTCTGGACCTTCAAAACCCTAAACGCAGGCCTGGTGTGGTGGCTCACGCCTGTAATCCCAGCACTTTGGAAGGTCGAGGCAGGTGGATTACCTGAGGTCATGAGATCGAGACCAGCCTGGCCAACATGGTGAAACCTCATCTTCACTAAAAATACAAAAATTAGCAGAGTGTGGTGGTGCCCAGCCGGTAATTCCAGCTACTCAGGAGGCTGAGGAGGAGAATCTCTTGAACCCGGGAGGCAGAGGTTGCAGTGAGCCGAGATCATGCCACTGCACTCCAGCCTGGGCGACAGAGCGAGGCTCCATCTCAAAAACAAAAACAAACTCTAAATGCCCAGTCTCCAACTCTTAATTCCTCAACAGTCTGGCTCCAATGCCTCATTTTGCAGGATGTCCAACTCCAGCGAAACTCTATTCATCCCTCAAAGCCCTGAATCCAATGTAGTTTCCCCTCGGACACCTTTTTTGTCTCCCCAGGCAGAGCCAGGGCCACCGTCGAGTCCCATCCTCCGGTCCAATCTCATGGGGCTGGAGGTGTCTGCGTGCATTCAGCACGGGGTCTGGTGTGCGGTGAATGTTGAGTGAATAAAAAAATAAATGCACGATTGGGCCAGAGCTGACCTCAGAAATCATCCTGCGCTGGGTGATGCTACTGTTTCTACTGCTTAATTTTCTTTCTAAAAAAAAAAAAAATTTTTTTTTTTTTTTGAGAGGGAGTCTTGCTTGCTCTGTTGCCCAGGCTGGAGTGCAGTGGCTGGATCTCAGCTCACTGCCACCTCCGCCTCCTGGGTTCAAGCGATTCTCCTGCCTCGGGCTCCTGAGTAGCTGGGATTACGGGTGAGCGCTGACACGCCCGGGTAATTTTTGTATTTTTAGTAAAGACAGGGTTTCATCATATCGGCCAGCCTGGTCTCGAACTCATGACCTAGTGATCCGCCCACCTCGGCCTCCGACAGGCGTGAGCCACCGCGCCCGGCCTCTACTGCTTAATTTTGGAAGCGGGGTTAGGTTTCCTGCCTCCTCCTCCCTCCAAAGGCGCCTGGGCATAAAACATCTTGGAAAGCAAGGCCGCACCCCACAGACCTCAGCCTCTGTCTGACCCCCGGGTCCCGGTGAGGCACAGCCGGTAGCCGAGTCCCCGGTCTGCAGGCGTTTCGCAGCGCTGATGGAACGCCTGCCGGGTGTCAGGCGCTACTGCGGGTGCGAACACCCCTTGGCCGCGCGGCTGGCCTTACAGTGCACGGGGTGGGAATCAGTGCCGCGGGGCAGGAGGGCGGCAGAGAAGACCCCGTGAGCTGACATTTGAGCAAAGGCCTGGAAGAAAGCCACGTGGGCGTCGGGGGAGGGGCACCGGGCGGGGTAGGGGGACTAGGCCGGTGCAGACGCCCGGAGCGGAGAGAGCGCCTGGAGAGCCCCGGGAGCAGTGGGGACAGGGGTCTGCAGTACCGTGAGGGGAGAGGACGATAAGGTAGGGAAGCTCCGAAGGAAAGGAGGGCCTTGGCAGGATTGAATGGCGAGGAGGGCTTCGCTCCTCGTCTCTTCCGCCGGGGCTTGGCCCCGCCCCTCCAGAACCCCGCCCCTCCAGAACCCCGCCCCCGCTCGGAGCCCCGCCCATCGGCCGGGCCTAGTTTGTCTCTCAGCGGCCACCGTCGCCCCGCCCGCCGCCCGCCGAGTGCGCAGCATTACGCCGCGCCCGCGTCCCGCCCCACGTGCCGTGCGTGCCGTGCGTGAGCGTGCGTGGGCGCGTCGGCCGGCGAGGGAGCCGCAAACGGCCGGCGGCGGGCGCCGCGCAGGGGGCGGGCGGCACGGAGTAGGCGGCGGCGGCCATGGCCGAGGCGTCGCCGCAGCCCGGACGGTACTTCTGCCACTGCTGCTCCGTGGAGATCGTCCCGCGCCTGCCGGTGAGGCCCGGGCCGGGGCGGCGGGCGGTAGGGTCTGTGCCGCAGGCCTGAGGCAAGGCCCGGGCCGGGGTGGAGGTCGCCGGTGCCCGCTCCTCGCGCGAGGTGGCCACGACGGGGAAACTGAGGGTGGGGACAGCGCCGGCCCAGGGTGGATCCGCGGGGAGCCCGGGCGGTGCGGGCGCGAACCCCGTCCTGCACATGCGGGAAACTGAGGCCCGGAAGGGGGGAGGCGGGGCCTGGCCGGGGCGGCGCAGCTGGGTCGGGTGACCCCACATCCTCTGCCTTCTCGATCCGAGAGGCCGCGGGGACCCCAGGTGGGAACGCTCCTCCGAACCCCGTGAGCCTGGTTCTGTAAAACGGAGAAAGTGAGGCCCGGCGAGCAGAGGGTATTGCCCAGGGGCGCGGTGCGGGCCACGGGCCGGGCCTGGCGGGGCGCAGACCCCGAGAATAACGCCAGGGGACCCCCGCCGAGCGCGCAGTCCGGGGCGCCCTAGGCTCGCCTCGTGGGGCCCTGGCCGCCGCCTGGGAGTCAGGCCCAGGCCCGGAAGGCTCCAGGCACCGTCCCGGGCTCCGACCGCGGCCCTCCGGCAGGGCTTTGTGACCCGAGCCTGCGTTCTTCCCTTCCCGGGGCTGGGTTGAGCAGCCCACCCTTTCTCGAAGTGTTTACAGCCACCCTTGGCTCAAGGGGACCCCGGGCCTGGGTGTTCCGAGTGTTACTTCCTGCTTATTTAGGGCGATGTTTCCCACGCGGACCTGATGTCACCTTGGGGGCAGGTGGGAGCGGTGCTCGTGGAACGTGCTATTTCCAGGCCCCTTCTCCGGGGTTTCGGAGTCAGCGGGTCTGGAACGGGCTCGGCAGTTGGCGTTCCTATTACTATTTTTAGGGACAGGGTCTCACTGTGTGGCCCAGGCTGGTCTTGAACTCCTGGGCTCAAGTGATCCCCCTGCCTCCCAACGCGCTGGGATTACAGGTGTGAGCCACCGTGCCCGGCGGTGGTCTGCATTTGTGACCAGTGTTTCCCTTTCTCAGGCTAATGTGGAAAGTGGTGATTTCTTTGAGCCACGCCTGCAGATGGGGAAACTGAGGTCCGTGGTGGCTCAGCAGAAAAGGCAGAGCCTGCTCAGTCGGGAGCTGCCAACTTGAGGGGAGCAGGTGCAAGAGGTGGAGCGGTGTCTGGACTCCCTACCCTGTGCCCACGGGAAGAGGCTGCAGGCGTTGAGGATTTTCTGTGCTCTCTCTGTGCATTACCACCCGGCTGTTGCTACGGTTTGACCCATTAGAGGCGCCCAAGCCCTCCAGAAGCAGTAGCGTTCCTTGGGAGCAGAGACCCCGGAAGGGGCTGGAGGGAGTCAGGAGAAGCAGCTTTCTTGGTCACGGAGGAGGAACCAGTGCTAGAGTTGGGGCATGACGGGAGAGCAGTGACACAGGCCAGGAGTGGAGAGAGTAGAGAGGTGTGGCTTCCTCTCTGCTGAAGCCACAGGGCTTCCCCTCCCCAGCAGGAGGAACAAATCAAGTAAAATCCTGGGTGTGGGGCGAAGATTAGGGAGCTGAGGCTGAGCCTTGTCTTGCTGCTGTGCCTCTCAGGGTTCTCACTCCTGCCCCTTCCTGTTTCCTGTGCCCCCTGGCCGTGGCAGAAGGGGTTGGTTGGCTGACAGACTGCCTGCCAGGGTGAGTTGTAGGGCAGCCCCTGACAGCTGTGTGAGCCCTGGGACAGGTCCTGGGAAGCCTGGAGTTGTGGCTGTTGGAGGTGGCTAGCCCTGACCTGTTGATACTTGGCTGCTCTGGGAGCCTGCACAGGGCTGGATCCTGGTGTGGTGGAGCCACTTCCTGGCCCTGTGGCCTCGGACAAGGAGGACCCTGACCTCTTCCGATTGTCACTGGGCCTGGGGAGGACCTTCTTTTAGTCATGGAAACTCAGTGGTGTCTGGTAGTCCTGGTCTTGGCTCTCACGGAATTTATAGGCTGGCCGGGGAGCCAGCATTGAACCGCGGCTGACAAATATTTGGTCATGAACGTTGGTAAACAAGTGCAGGGAGCGGGTGTGTGGGTGAGGGGAGTGCCTGTCTTCACCCTGCAGTGATCCCGAGGGCACCTGCTCGTGCCTTTGGAGCAGGACGTAACATGGTGCCAGTAGACAGTGTGGCGGTGTCAGGACTTCATTGTACAGGGCAAGACTCTGTCCCTACAAGACATAAAAACAAGTGGTGGGTGTCTTGTTGCACGCCTGGAGCCCCAGCCACTGTCGGGGCTGAGGTGGGAGGAGCGCTTGAGTCTGGGAGGTGGAGGCCGCATGGAGCTGTGACGGTGCCACCGCACTCCAGCCTGAGTGACGAGCAAGACGCTGTCTCAAAAAGAAACAAAAACGGATTTTCTGTGCTGGGAGTTGGGCGCACCTGTTCTGGGGCAGGAAGGCTGCTCCAAATCTGGTGATGGGGAAAGTCCCCAGCCACCACCAGCACCCTCGAAATGGGCGTCTCTGCCGGTGGTGAGCTTGCCCCGAGGCTGAGTCTGAGGTGGCGCCACTGCTGCTGAAACACCTAGGCTGGTGTCAGGAATCCCCTACGGGCCTCTGACGCGGAGGCCTGCCGGGGCTGAATGCCTGTGTGTGGTGGCTTCTCCCAGGCAGCTGGGCTGCTGCAGGCCTCCATTGCCATTCTGGGCTCTGGGATCAGGCTGAGGCCCTGAGCGGCTGGGCCAATCTGATCTGTGCGGCCTTGGCCTCAGTCTTTTACCTGCCAGGCGTGTTTGGTGATGCAATCTCCTCCCGTGGCATCCAGTGGGTGCATGTGCAGAGTGGCTGGTACCTGGCCACTCTCCTGGTGGCTCGTTGTGAGGGCGCCCTGAGCAGAGATTCCCCTCTTGCAGTAGGGGGCTCTGGTGGTGGTGGCAGTTGTCCCCATGAAAGGCGGTGACGGCCAGGTGCGGTGGCTCACGCCTGTAATCCCAGCACTTTGAGAGGCCGGGGTGGGTGGATCACTTGAGGTCAGGAGTTCCAGACCATCCTGGCCAACATGGTGAAACCCCTCTCTTAAAAATGCAAAAAATTAGCTGCCGTGGTGGCGGGCACCTGTAATCCCAGCTACTCCGGAGGCTAAGACAGGAGAATTGCTTGGATCCAGGAGGCAGAGGTTGCAGTGAGCTGAGATCGTGCCACTGTGCTCAAGCCTGGGTGACAGAGGGAGACTCTGTCTCAAAAAAAAGAAAGGCGATGACAAGAGCCTCTGGGTATCTGAGCAAAGGCAGCCTCAGCTGGAGTGAGGCGTGTGGCTGCGGGAACCGCCGGCTGCTGCACAGACCCAGACTCGACCCTGCTGAGGAGGTGCTGGCTGCGGTACTGTGGCTGTGGGGTGCGGGAGAGAGTGCCCTGTGGGCGGGGACTCGCTGAAGGCACTGAGCCCCCGATAGCCGAGTGGGCGTGGGTGGTGGCCCTGGGTGCCAGCCTCAGCCCTGAATTCCCTGTCTCCAGGTGGTCCCTAGGGCAGTCCCAGCTCTGCCTGCTGACCGCCCTCCCCCAGCACCTGCACCGTCCTCAGTGTCCCCAAGTGCCAGGGGACAGATCCTGCTGCCCACAGCGGTGGGGAAGAGCTGGCGTGGGTGGGGAGCCTCCGGGAAGTGAAGGCTGCTGCCGCTTGTGTCACTATTGGTGCTGGGCAGGAAGTCTCCCCAGCTGCCTCTCTCCCGTGCCCTGCAGCCCACCCTGTCTCCCCCTCTCCCGTGCCCTGCAGCCCACCCTGTCTCCCCCTCTCCCCTGCCTCCCAGCTCACCCTGTCTCCCCCTCTCCTCTGCCCCCCAGCCCACCCTGTCTCCCCCTCTCCCCTGCCCCCCAGCCCACCCGGTCTCCCCCTCTCCTGTGCCCCGCAGCCCACCCTGTCTCCCCCTCTCCCCTGCCCCCAGCCCACCCTGTATCCCCCTCTCCCCTGCCCCCCAGCCCACCCTGTCTCCCCTCTCCCCTTCCCCCCAGCCCACCCTGTCTCCTCTCCCGTGCCCTGCAGCCCACCCTGTCTCCCCCTCTCCCGTGCCCTGCAGCCCACCCTGTCTCCCCCTCTCCCCTGCCTCCCAGCCCACCCTGTCTTCTCCTCACCCCTGCCCCCCAGCCCATCCTGTCTCCCCCTCTCCCCTGCCCCCCAGCCCACCCTGTCTCTCCCTCTCCCCTGCCCCGAAGCCCACCCTGTCTCCCCCTCTCCTCTGCCCCCCAGCCCACCCTGTCTTCTCCTCACCCCTGCAGTGGCCTGGCCCTCCCGGGCCTCCTGAGTAGCCCTGGCCACAATCTTCAGACGACAGCCTGAGTCCTCCCAGGCTGTGTGGTGTCTGTCTCTGGCTGCCGCCTGCTCTGTGTGTGTCTGCGGTTGTGCCAGACACTGTGACGGTGACTTCCGGCCGGCACCCTGGAGTGGCTCCACATGGCTGGGTTCTCGGGAACTGGCTCCCAACAGCACCCTGTGAGCATGGAGCCTGGCGTTGGGATCGGGTGCTAGCAATACCCAGGGAACCTATGGATGTTGGCCCCGCCCTCTTGGGCAGGCTGGCACGGGGGTCTGCAGCGGGCAGGTGCCGAATTTCCTTCCACTTGGAACTCTGCCACCATGAAGACCTTCCTCTGAGTCTCTGCCAAGCTGTAGCACCCAAGCACTGGCACGTATGGGCACGTGTGGGGTCCCGGTCCCTACGGCAGTGCCTGAAGCCGCCTGGAAAGGAGAAGGCAGAGTTCCAGGCCTGGGCCTAGGCACCTCTGGGATGTGAGGCGGAGCACCCACAGGCCCCAGCAGGTCCAGGCAGCGGCTTTGCTCATGCCTTCTCCATCCAGCCCATCCCAGGAGGCCCAGGGACAGAAGGTGTGAATGTGGGGTGTGGTGGCTGCTGCTGGGGCGGGAAGGAGGGGGTGCAAGGCACTGCACGTGCCCATGCCTCTGGGGCTGTGGGGCCCACACACTGGATCAGCTGGGAAGTTCTGGGCATCCTGTGGGAAAGCAGTAGTTCTGGGGCTCCCGCCGAGGGCCGCACCATGACCTTTCCTGGGGCCTCCTGATGCGCACAGCTGCCTGAGGTGCCTGCTGCCCACGGGGCCTGAGTCACCGTCGCTGGGCGGTCATCTGGGGCCAGCAATTTCCCCAGCCCACTCTCCACGTGCCTGGCCCTGGGCCCTCAGGACGTGCAAGCTCTGTGGATGAAGGGCCCCTGCCGCCCTGCCAGGTCCCAACCAGGGATGCGGTGGTGGCTCTCCCAGGGCTGTGCAGCTCCTCCTACCCTTGCTGCCTGGCCAGCTGTCGCTATGGTGACGATGTGGGGAGATCTGATCTCCTCCACCTGTCCTCCAAGGGAGAGGTGAACAGATTCACTCCTGGGAGCTGCTTTCCGCTAGCACCAGAGGCTCCAGTGGGGCCTCTGTGGGGGCCCCCAGTGCACACCGCCCCCAGGAGAAGGTGGAGCAGCTCCTCATCCAGGCCCCCTTGCCTGGGCGCTTCTACCTGTGGCCTCTGCGGTTTGATATGAGACCAAGCTGTCTCTGGGCTGTGCCCTTAGAGGAAGAGGGTGGCTGGAGACCCCAAGTGCAGCCCCTCCCACCACCTGCAGGCAGAGGCTCAGCCTCCACCCTGGGCATCTGCAATCCACCTGTCAGCAGCCTGGGTTCCAGTCTTTGGAGGGGCTGGCCGGGGGCCTGAGGGACAGAGCCCAGGAGTTGGGTGGCAGCCCTTGGTGTCCTTGACGACAGCCGGATTTTAGACACCAGTGAGTGTCGAGGCCATCCTCTATGACAGGGTGGAGGCTTGGAGCAAAGAGGTGACCTTTGAACCCCCTGGGTTGGGTGTCCCAGCAGCAGGTGGATGTGCACAGGCCCTGACCGCAGAATGGGTGCTGCAGGGAGGGTTCTGGGCAGCGCGGTGGCACCAGGTCCTACGGCTACTGTGGGCGGGACAGCTGGGGACGAGGGGAGGCCGGGGCTGGGGCAGAGAAGTGTACATGTGGCCAGGTCGGGCTGTTGCGAGCGGCAGTGCAGGTGACGGAGCAGGATAGGAAACCAGGTGATGAGCAGGGGCTGAGCTCGGCACGTCAGGACCACAGCGGCAGGGCCTCTGAGCGCACGTGGGGCTCCGCGCTTGTCCGGGAGAGATATGGGGCTGGGGCTGGCAAGCCTGGTTCCTCAGAGGGAGACGGCTTCTTTCTCAGGTCCTTCCAGGGCTGCCCATCCCGGTGGATGCACCTGCAGGAGAGAGAGCAGTCTGGGTGGTGGCACAGCTGACGCACGTCCTGTCCTGAGTGGGGGCCAGCGCAGCTGCTCCAGGTGGACTGGGTGGCGATAGCCTTGGGAGCCAGCCATGCAGGGAGGGCCTGCGCCCTGAGCCCACCACGCCAGGCCCAGAGAGCCACGCAGGCCATGGAGTGGCCCTGGGCTCCCAGTCAGCTGGCGGGCGGATGCCTGCAGACCCTCAGCCCAGAGGAGCCCTGATAAACCCGACATCAGCAAAAACCAGGGGTTCAGGTAGTTAAGTGGGGCATCTAAGTCCTGACACCCTAAACACACCCCCAAGAAACCTGTGCCTGTGGGAAACAGCCACAGCCACTGTGGCAGGGCCGTCCCTGCTCCTGAGCACTGTGGGTGGTGGGTGTTGGCTCGCCTCTGGCTTCTTTCTTTCATTTTTTTCTTTCTTTTTCTCTCTCTCTTTTTTCTGTTTCTCTCTCTCTCTTTTTTTTTTTTGGTGGCAGAGTCTTGCTCTGTCACTCAGGCTGGAGTGCAATGGTGCAGTCTCAGCTCACTGCATCCTCTGCTTTCCGGGTTCAGGCGATTCTCCTGCCTCAGCCTCCTGAGTAGCTGGGACTACAGGCATGTGTCACTATGTCTAGCTAATTTTTGTATTTTCAGTAGAGACGGGGTTTTACCATGTTGGCCAGGCTGGTCTCGAACTCTTAACCTCAAGGGATCCGCCCACCTTGGCTTCCCAAAATGCTGGGATTACAGGTGTGAGCCACCGCGCCTGGCCCTTTCTTCTTTTGGAGACGCTGCCTCACTCTGTTGCAGCCATCTTGGCTCACTGCAGCCTCTACCTCCTGGGTTCAAGCGATCCGACCACCTCAGCCTCCCTAGTAGCTGGGACCACTGGGCCTACTTATTCTAATAGCTTTATTTCGATATTTTCACACACCGTACCATCTGTTTAAAATGTTTGTGGTTGATGAATAAAGTTGTACAACCACCACCGCAGTCCAATTCCAGAGCGTTCTCATCGCCCGAGAAAGCGACCAGCCTGGTCCCTGTCAGCCGTGATTCCCCTTCCCCTCCCCCAGGCCCCGGCACTCATGATCCCTTCTGTCTCTGGATCCACCTGTCCTGGACATTTCATAGAAATGGACCACACGCTGTGAAGCCTTCTGTGTCTGGCGTCCCTCACTGGGCGGGACATCCTCAGGGTGTGCCACCCCCCGCTGCCCTGGCCGGGGTCTCAACCTCGCTCCTCTCTGTGGTTGAGCCTGTTTTGAGCTGTTTCCACCTGCTGGTGATACTGTGACCATCCACTATGACAAGTGTCTTCTTCCTCTTTGATGTGTACCTGGAGGGAAAATGCTGGGTTGTGGGGTAATCCCATCTCGGGGACTTCTGGGCTCCCAGCCGGCCTGGACGGGGTTGTGCGCCTCCTCCTCACTTGCCCTGGGAAGGGGCATCTCGCTGATGCTGGCCGGCTCCACGGGACTCGTGGTGGGGGCTGCTTTCCAGTGCATGCTTTTGGAGGCGTGCCCCTTACGGGTCCTTCGCCTGCTTTGAGTTGGGTTGTCTGTTGCTCTTTTTCTTTCTTTCTTTTTAGAGGCAGGGTCTTGCTCTGTCACCCAGGCTATAGTGCAGTGGTGGGACCCCAGCTCACTGCTGCCTCGACTTCCTGGACTCAGGCGATCCTCCTGCCTCCCCCTCCCTAGTAGCTGGAACTACAGGGACACGCCAGCACATCCAGCTAATGTATTTTTTGTAGAAATGGGGTTTGGCCATATTGGCTGGGCTAATCTGAAGCTCCTGACCTCAGATGATCTCCCCACCTCAGCTTCCCAAAGTGCTGGGGTCACGGGTGCGCCGCTGCACCCAGCCAGGGTGTCTTTTTTGTTTGTTTGTCCTTGAGACAGAGTCTCTTTCTGTCTCCTAGGCTGGAGTGCAGTAGCTCAATCTCGGCTCACTGCAACCTCTGCCTCCCGGATTTTAGCGATTCTCCCGCCTCAGCCTCCTGAGTGGCTGGGAGTACAGGTGAGCGCCACCACGCCCAGCTAATTTTTGTATTTTCAGTGGAGACAGGCTTTCACTATGTTGGCGAGGCTGGTCTTGAACTCTTGACCTCAGGTGATCCACCCACCTCGGCCTCTCACAGGTGTGAGACGTCACACCCAGCCAGCACTTTCTATTTGTTGTAGATAATGTCTCGTCACCCTCCACTCTTCTCCCCTCATGCTGGGTTCGCGTGCTCCTGGGGTCCTTTGCTCACCTGGCCTCAGCCCCTTCTAACCGCCCAGCCTGTGCTTCAGCAGCAGGAACAGTGAGGCGGGCATGGCGCAGTGTGGGCTGCAGGACCCAGCTATTGGCTCTGCCTGTGGGCACTGCCCTCCAGGCCCCTGTTTTGCCCCAGAGTCAGCGAGTGGGGCTGGGATCTTGCCTGCTGGAGAGGGGACCACAGCTGGCCAAGTTCCAGCCACCAAGAAACTTGTGTCCCCAGAGCCTGGGGTCCCCCACGGAACCTGCATCCCCGGAGCCTGGGGTCCCCTGTGTAACCTGCATCCCCGGAGCCTGGGGTCCTCCAAGGAACCTGCATCCCCGGAGCCTGGGGTCCCCTGTGTAACCTGCATCCCCGGAGCCTGGGGTCCCCTGTGTAACCTGCATTCCCGGAGCCTGGGGTCCCCTGTGTAACCTGCATCCCTGGAGCCTGGGGTCCCCCACGGAACCTGCATCCCCGGAGCCTGGGGTCCCCTGTGTAACCTGCATCCCTGGAGCCTGGGGTCCCCCACAGAACCTGCATCCCCATAGCCTGGGGTTCCCTGTGGAACCTGCATCTCAGAGCCTAGGGTCCCCTGTGAAACCTGCATCCCCAGAGCCTGGGGTTCCCCATGGAACCTGCATCTTCAGACCCTGGGGTCCCCCACAAAACCTGCATCCCCATAGCCTGGGGTTCCCCATGGAAACTGCATCTTCAGACCCTGGGGTCCTCGTGGAACCTGCATCTCAGAGCCTGGGGACCTCATGGAACCTGCATCTCAGAGCCTGGGGTCCCCATGGAACTTGCATCCCCATAGCCTGGGGTTCCCCGTGGAACCTGCATCTCAGAGCGTAGAGTCCCCTGGGAAACCTGCATCCCCATAGCTTGGGGTTCCCCGTGGAACCTGCATCCATAGAGCCTGAGGTTCGCCTTGGCTCCCCCCACAGCAGTGCCCCATACACCATGGGAGCCTCCTCTCCCTGTTTCTGTCTGTGTTTCTTACCTGGAGATGACCTGGGACCCTGGTGCGAGTCCCTGACATGATACGTGCTCTTTAAGGCCGTTTTCACATTGCTGTAAGGAACACTTGAGACCGGGTCATTTACAGAGAGAGGTTGATGTGGCTTCCAGTTCTGCGGGCCACATAGGAAGCGTGGCGCTGGCATCTGCCTGGATCCTGCTAGGCTGGAGGCGCCACACACTTTTCAGCCCAAGTCCTACGAATGCTTGGTGGTCCCCTATCAGCAAGGGCCAAGCCATCCACGAGGGGCCTGCCCGCAAGCTGGCGCCTCCAGCAGCCCTTCCAGCCCAGGGCGAGGTCTGCAGGGTACAGCATCCAAACCGTGTGTGGCCTGCTTGGCGAGGCTGTGGCTTGAGGCCAGTGCTGGGGAGCTGTGAACTTGGGTTTGGGGCTCACACACAGCTGTCCTTTGGCAGCTTCTCTGGGACATCAACATGTTGGCCTTGGCTCTAGGGGGACCTGGGGATGGGGTCTTGCACGGGTGTGGCCAGCATGGGCATGGCCTCCCCCCAGCCAGGGGAATGGGCGGTGTGGGGCTGTCAGAGCGTTCTGGAAATGCCACTCTGGCGTCCAGGCAGTGCCTCCTGTGCACGGAGGTGCCAAGGCCCTGGTGATGTCTGTCATGGTGGGGGCAGGTTGGGGGGAGCCTAGATCACTGGGAGCCATAGCAGACTCAGTTGGTGGCCAGCACAGCCAGGTTTCCTCGGCCTTGTTGAAGGCCCTGCCCACCAGGACCCACGGATTGGGAGTGGCCCCTGCCTGCGAGTGTCTGGCCAGCCAGAGACCACTGGGTCAAGAGCCCCTCTGTCCTCACCCTTGAGGGGATTTTGCAGGTGACCTTGAGGTGGTGCCGGGCGTCATTGTGACCGAGCCTCCTGTTCTCTCCTGCAGGATTATATCTGCCCAAGATGCGAGTCTGGTTTCATCGAGGAGCTTCCGGAAGAGACCAGGTAATGCAGCCCCTCGTTCAAGAGGCTGGAAGAGCCGCTGTAGGAGGAGGGGAGCCTGCTGGGTCTGTGGCCAGCAGGGCCTGGTGCCCGTGGCTCTCAGAGCACTTTCCTCTGTGCGGGCCATAGCATGCTGTTCCCGTCTGTGATGGCCGGGCCGGGGCCAGAGGGGAGGGCCGGTGACCTGTGGTCTGTGATGACGGGGCCAGGGCCCTGTGCAGCCACTCACTTCACCCAGCCTCAGCACCTGATGTGCGACCCAGGCCCTCTGGGGTAGGGGCCACGGGGGCTCTGTGCACATCCTCACACCCGGGAGGTTGCTGGGGTCTGCACCGGTTTACAGAGACACTTTGTGGGTTACAGGTGAGGGAAGAAACAGTGGGTTACGGCGCTAATGCTGGCGTGAGGCCACCCACACACGTCAGGGTCGGCTCCATGTGGCGCTGTGGCGAGGGTGGCCCAGGGGACTCCCTAAGTCTGTGATGTTTCCGTGGTGACTGCAGGGTTTCGTCCTGAGGTGGTAGTGGGCGGGAAGCTGTGCAGAGGACAGTTTCTGCTTTCCCATCACAGGCTTTTGAGGGGAGGGAGCGCCTGGCACGTGGGGACCGGGGCGGCTCTTGCTGCTGACACGCACTCTCTCCCCAGGAGCACAGAAAATGGCTCTGCCCCCTCTGCAGCCCCCACGGACCAGAGCCGGCCGCCATTGGAGGTGAGTTTTGGCACCCCACCCCACTGTGCTCCTGAGCCTGTCTGCCTTGCTTGGGACCCACCTCACCTTCCAGGGCTCCCCCTGCCAGCACAGCAGAGGAAATGAGTCCCTGCCGGGGCCAGGGCCGGGGCTCACAGGTGGCCCATGCTGCTTGGTTGGGCTGATGGTTTCTCAGGTGAAAGTGAAACTTCTGTCGAGGCGTCTCCCTGCGCCATCTCACATTGGCGGGGCAGGCTGCGCCCGATTCCCGCTTCCCTTTTTCTCTCCCACCCACCTGGCAACCAGCAGGGCCCGGCGTGCTTTCTCCTTTGTATTGGTCCCCTGGCACCCCCAGCAGACTGCACGGGCCTGAGCCCCCTTGGCTGCCCCAGCCGCTGAGCCAGCTCCGAGGTCACACCCCGCTCCTCTCCCCAGAACGTGGACCAGCACCTGTTCACGCTGCCTCAGGGCTACGGACAGTTTGCTTTCGGCATCTTTGACGACAGCTTCGAGATCCCCGCGTTCCCTCCTGGGGCACAGGCTGATGACGGCAGGGACCCTGAGAGCCGGCGGGAGCGAGAGCACCAGTCCCGGCACCGGTACGGCGCCCGGCAGCCCCGCGCCCGCCTCACCACGCGGCGGGCCACCGGCCGACACGAAGGCGTCCCCACGCTGGAAGGGTGAGGGGGCCCCGGGGGTGGCTGAGAGGACCCCACACTGTGAGGTTGTAGGTTCTGGTGCTTAGAATCCAGCATGGGTTCCATGGAAGCCCCATGTCATCTGTAGGCTCTCTTGAGAGACTGCCTGGCCAGGCGCTCCAGCGCTGTCCCCCATACTCTCCGAGAGCCTCGGGATGTGTCCCGTTGCGAGCAGGGGCCCCACACGGCCCTTTGGAGACAGAAGTGTGCTGGTTCCGGTGTGTGGGCTGACCGTAGAGCGGAGCCCACGTGCATGGGAGGCTGCTGTCCACGTGCATGTGATCAAATGCTATCCTGGCCTTGGCCTGGACCAGAGCCTGGGGGACATCGCTGGGGCCCCGCTCCTGTGGTTGCGTGTCTCACCTGCTGGAAAAGTCATCTTTAAAAGTGGCTAGTTTTGCCAGGCGTGTGGCTCAGCACTGTGATCCCAGTGTTCTGGGAGGTCGAGGAGGGACGATGGCTTGAGAACAGGCTTTCACGAGCAGCCTAGCAACATAGAGGGACCCTGTTTCTTTCTTTTTTTTTTTTTTTGAGACGGAGTTTCACTCTTGTTACCCAGGCTGGAGTGCAATGGTGCGATCTCGGCTCACCGCAACGTCCGCCTCCTGGGTTCAGGCAATTCTCCTGCCTCAGCCTCCCGAGTAGCTGGGATTACAGGCATGCGCCACCGTGCCCAGCTAATTTTTTGTATTTTTAGTAGAGATGGGGTTTCACCATGTTGACCAGGATGGTCTCGATCTCTTGACCTTGTGATCCACCCTCCTCAGCCTCCCAAAGTGCTGGGATTACAGGCGTGAGCCACCGCGCCTGGCCTGAGGGACCCTGTTTCTAACTCTAAAGAAGTAGCCAGGAGCGGTGGAGCTCTGCTGTGGCCCCAGCTTCTCGGGAGGCTGAGGCGGAGGATAAGCCCAGCAGGCCGGGGCTGCAGTGAGCCAGGATGGAGCAGCTGCTCTCCAGCGTGGGCATCAGAGTGCATGATAAAACAAGGAAATCGAAGCTAATTTAGAAGTCGAAGCTTGCTCTGCCCTGGGTGCCCACCACGGACCTGGCAGGCCTGGTCCTCTCCTGCATGTGGGGTGGCCTCACCCCGTGACTGCCCCCTCTGTTCCAGGATCATCCAGCAGCTCGTTAATGGCATCATCACGCCCGCCACCATCCCCAGCTTGGGTCCTTGGTGAGTAGATGGGGGCTCCTGTCCACACCCCCAGCCGGTACCCCTGGTGAGTGGGGTGGGGGAGGCACCTGCCCTAGCCGCCCATCAGCCACTCGAACCCCACCTTCCACCCCCAGGGGAGTTCTGCACTCAAACCCTATGGACTACGCCTGGGGGGCCAATGGCCTGGACGCCATCATCACACAGGTACAGTGTGGCCACCGCCTGGAGTGCCTGCTGTGTTCGGGGCTGGGCTGCCCAGACCCAAGAAGGCCCCACAAGGTCAGGGGGATCAGGCATGGAGGCAGCTCCGGCCTTCCTCCTGCCGCATCTGAGTCTCGGCAACCTTGGGGCTTCTCCTCCTGAGCTCACGCGGAGGAGCGCTGTAGCAAAACCACACAGAGGACTCACCCAGCCGCACGGTCCCTCAGCCCCTCTCCCGAGAAGCCGCACCCTGACCTGGTTCCAAGTGCTGCCACTCCCGGCCTCACTGAGGGGCCCTTGAAACATTTGGTCACTGGCAGGACCTGTCCTCACAGCAGCCCACCCCACCACTGCCAGCAGGGACCTGGGAGCAGGGCAGTGCCACGTGGTGCCACGGTGGCCTTCAACCTGGGGTGGGCTCCAGGGGCCCTGAACTCAGGACAAACGCGGCCTCGGTGCTTTTGCAGGTTCTGCAGCCTCAAGTTTCCGAGCCCTGGGCCGGGCCCCTGAGGAGCTCCCGCACTGTCGCCTCTTGTCTTTCAGCTCCTCAATCAGTTTGAAAACACGGGCCCCCCACCGGCAGATAAAGAGAAAATCCAGGCCCTCCCCACCGTCCCCGTCACTGAGGAGCACGTAGGTATGAGAGCCCAGCCGCACCGCTCAGCTTTCAGGGTGTTTGTCTTCATTGAGACGGAGTCTCGCTCTGTCTCCTAGGCGGGAGGGCAGGAGTTGAACCTCCAACTCCTGGGTTCAAGCAATTCTCTTGCCTCAGCCTCCCAAGTAGCTGGGACTACAGGCACCTGCCACCATGCCTGCCTAATATTTGTAATTTTAGTAGAGATGGGGTTTCACCATGTTGGCCAGGCAGGACTCAAACTCCTGACCTCAGGTGATCCAACGCCTCGGCTTCTCACAGTGCTGGGATCACAGGTGTGAGCCACCTTGCCTGGCCTGGGGCGTTTTTCTGAAGGTCGGCTTAGAGGACAGGGTTCCGTCCAGGTCCTTCCAGCAGCCCAGGGGGCATACACAGTTTTTCTTCCCCTGGCTGAGCTCGAGGGTGGCCTCTGGCCGAGGCTGTGGAGAAGCCCGCCCTGGAAGGCTTGGCAGGCCCCCACGCCACCGTGACCGCTTCCCCCCCGCCACAGGCTCTGGGCTCGAGTGCCCCGTGTGCAAGGACGACTATGCGCTGGGCGAGCACGTGCGGCAGCTGCCCTGCAACCACCTGTTCCACGATGGCTGCATTGTGCCCTGGCTGGAGCAGGTGAGTGCCCGCCCGCCCGCCCTCGCCGCCACCGCCTGCCCGCTCTAACCCACCCTTCTCCCGCCCTCGCCTCTGTCCCCACAAAGCACGACAGCTGCCCCGTCTGCCGAAAAAGCCTCACGGGACAGAACACGGCCACGAACCCCCCAGGCCTGACTGCAGTGAGCTTCTCCTCGTCGCCGTCCTCCTCCTCCTCCAGCTCGCCCAGCACCGAGAACGCCACAAGTAACTCCTGAGCCCGCGTCAGCTGGCGCCCGAGGCTGCAGGGAAGGTGCGGGCCTTTCCCCCACCCTCAGCCGGCGCCACGTGGCACCCGCAGACCGGGTGCCCCAGCGGTGCTGCTCTTGGCTGGTCAGCACTGCAGGCCCGGCCTGTTCCAGGGCAAGACCCGGGCCTGGCCCACCGGCCCCCTGGCTTGGGAAGGCGTGGGCCACACGGTCCCCTCTGGGGCACCCCAGCCTCCCCGTCCTCTGTCTAACCTCACCCTCTAAACGTTCAGCGGCGGAAAGATTTTTATAATTTTAAATTATTACTGCTTTGAAATAAATGGACGTTTTAGCTCAGATGGCGGCCATGCATGATCTGTGGCAAGACGGGGCCCAGCTGCTCCACCAGCGCTGCGAGCACCGCCAGGACAGGCTGTGTGGGCCCCCAGCCTCCACCTCGGCTGCCTCCACGACCCAGAGTTTGGGGGCTCGGGACCATGACGATGACCAGCAAAATTCAAGAACAAAACTGCTCCAGCGGACTTTTTTAAAGGAAAAAATATGTGTATCTTGAAAGCTATTTAAAATACACCACTTACAAAGAGAAGCAGGTGGCGTGGCTGGGCTTTCCTTCTGCGCCTGCGTGTCAGGAAAGGGCCACAGAGATGCGAGGCTAGCTGGGCTCTGCACGGCTGCGTCTGCTGCCAGGCATCTGTGCCTCCTGCGGGGCCTGGGGCTCGGGGCCCAGGGCTCACTAGCGAGCTCCCAAGCTTGGGCCCAGGAGGGCCGCCCTGGCAATGCTCTGCAGGGTGGCAGTGCTTCTGGGCCGTGAACTTTAAACCAGAAATGCAGACCAGCGCTAAAGCGTCAGGCCCTGCACCTCCCCCTCCCCCTCCCCCTCCCCCTCCCCCTCCCCCTCGATCGCCCCTTCTGAAGAGCCGGGCCTCACTGCCCAGGGCGGTGGGATGCCTGGCCTGGGGCGCAGCGGGCGTGGGCACAGCTGGCGGGGCATGGGGACGTGCGGGCTCAGAGAGCCGGGGCGGTGCGATCATCTCCGTTGCTGAAGATCCCACAATCCCAGGACACAAGCATCAGGCAGTGCAGATGGATAACAGAGGAGACCCCGCAGGACCACCCGTGTCCCTCTGCTGCAGGCTGCTCCTGCGAGTGGGAGGCACGTGCTCCCGCCGCCCCCCACCTGTTCTCCAGAGACTCCTGCCCTCCACTCCCTCCATGCTCTTCACTGCCGTGCTCCGAGACGTGTCTGTGTCAGCCCCCTCGGCCGGGCAACTCGGATCCCGCCTGTCTGAACCACGCCCTGGCAGCTTCTGGGCTTCTGCTGCTGAAACAGTGCCATGGGAGCCCTCCGGGTGGACACACTCGCGGTCACGGAGCCCAAGAGAAGTCTTGTGACTTCAGCGACCGTGGCCAGCAGGGCAGAGTGCCAGCCCTGAGGATGGCCCGGCCGCCTGCCCGGGACCCGTAGACTCAGCACCTCACAAGGTAACATACTCGGCGCCCGACGATGAGGTTGCCTTGAGGACGCCAACGTAGGGAGGCGACCGGATTGTCCTTGACTTCAGGGCTTCTGACCCCTGCACTGAGAGAACAAATGTGTTTCAGGCGCCCAGTCTGCGAGATTCATGCAGCAGCCGGCGGGGGCTCCTGCAGGCCGAAGCCAGCTTCCTGTTGGAAAGACAGAAGCTTTGAGTCGGGGGCATCTAGGGAGGGAGGCTTGGGTTCTAGGTGTCTATGTTGCCTCTTGGGAGTTGGAGCTGGAGGGCAGAGCTGGGCAGGTGAGGCCTGGGGACCCAGCTGGAGGGCCATTGTTTGAGGTGCCTCGGGGACATGCCTGCACGCAAGGCTGGGACTTTCCTCCTGTGGGGTGGCCGGAGGAGCAGGACCGGCCAGGTCGCCCAACCCAGGCATGAGCCTCCGGGTGCTGTGCCCAGAGGACACTGGCACCCTGGTGGGGGCTGTGAGGCCGCATTGCTGAAAGATGAGACAGCGGTAACAAGTGGCTGACCCTGGTGCCTTCACCACCCCGGGAGCCTGCTGCACGGGCAGAGGTGGCGCTTCGAGGCCCGCGGTACTGCGTCCCCGGCCCCCGGCGCTGCTGCCACCCTCTCCCTGTCGGCCACTCAGGAGTTTCGTAAGCGGGAGCACAGTTTGCAGCTGTTTGGGGTTGGCTCATTTTTGCTGCTGGCGACTTCCTGGAGAGCAGCTGGTGCTCTGCCCCCCGGGCTGCTGCTCTCTCTGTTGTGGGGCCCCTGCCCCACTGCCTGAGGAGGCCGGAGGCAACCAGGTTCCGGCCTGTGAATCAGCTGCTCAGAGCGTCTGCGTTCTGGCTTCTCTGTGAACGGGTCTCTGTCCCGGGTTGTCGGTGCCCAGAACTGCTGGCTGCACGCTCGTTTCATGTTCCGGTTTAGAACAAACTGCTGACCCTCTTTCTGCAGTACATGTAACGTTCTGTAATGTTCCTGCGTGGGTGCCAGCCGTGGGTTTACTTCCGCAATGGACCTGTACAGCCCCAAGCAAGAGAACTCAAACAGCGATGCCCTCTAAGCCGCCAGCGGGGGCAGAGCTCCCCTCACACTGCCACCCTGGGGCCGTCCTGGGTGCAGCAGGGTGCCCAGCACGGCCGCAGCCTCCACCAACTCCATGCCAGCCAGAAGCGTCCCCTGGGGAGGGGTCCCCTTCTCTGCAGGGTGAGCAGTGGCTCTCGGGGTGGACACAGCCCTCCCTTCCCAGAGGGTGTTTTCTTTGAGGCTGCCAAGTGCCTCCCGGCAGGTGCCTCAGCCCAGTTGTCCTGGATGTCTGTGGAAGGCGGCGGCTGGGGCTGGGGCCCTGGCCATCCCCGGGGACTGTCCCCTTCACCAGGAGGAATGCCCCCCGCCTGGGCAATGGTGCTGTCACCCCATGGGCACACCTGGAGATGGGCCCAGGGGGTCGCTGCTTGGCCCGAGGCTGTGGAGCAGGGGTGGACCTGAGCTCTGGGCTCTGCCCTTTTCTCTGGCTAGAATATGACTCCCAGGGCTGCAGGGAGAAGCCCCAGCAGAATCAGGATGTCAGGAGGGTGCTGGGCACCAGTGAGGCCACCCCCACCAACCCTCCCTGCACCCTGCAGGATGGTGGCACAGAGCCCCCAGGCCTGCCCTGCACCAGCATGGCTCCTGCCCTCAGCCTCTGCCATTCCCGGGGCGGAGGAACACAGGCTTATTTCATCATTGAAACAATTTCAGACACAGAATTTCTGACATTGCTATAACGAAGGACCACACAGTTGACGGCTTAAAGCAAAACATTTATTTTTCTGGCAGTTCTGGAGAGCAGAGTCCAGGGCAGGGCCTGTCCCTCCCCGGGGGGGCTCCAGGGGACCATTTCCCGCCTTTCCCAGCGTCTGAAGGCACCCATATCTCTCGGCTGGGGGCCCTTCCTGCCTGTCATGGCCACAGCACAGCCCATTCCCATCTCTCTCTGGCTCTCACCCTCTGCCTCCTGCGTGGGGACCCCCGTGAGGACACTGGGGCCCTGGACCCCCCACCCCGATGCCTGCCCGTCTCCGTCCCACCTGCAGGTCCTTTTGTCCTCGTCAGACACTGCATTTGTAGATTCCCGGGACAGGAACGCTTCAGGGTCTATGTCACCATCTCCTTGGCCCCTTGTCACCCTTCCCCTTCCCTCCTCTCTTCTGCCCAGCCCGGCTCCTTCCCCTGAGCGCTTGCCTCTGTGGGGCCCTGCCTGGGACGCCTCCTCCACCTTTCAACGTCTGCATCTTCAGCCCAGGAGGCACTGTTCGCTCCTCGAGGTCCCATCTCAGGACTGGACCTGACTGGTGGCCGCCCGCCTGCCCCTCAGGCTGGGGCTCCCCCAGGGGCTCCCGTGCTGTGTCCCCAGTGCATGCACACAGTGGGCACTCTGCTCACGGAGCCAGCAGGGGGAAGAACAGGTATGGCTGGGGCCCCTCGCCACTGGCCCAGGCAACTTCGGGAGCCTCTTGGGGCCTCAGGAGACCAGGACAGGCAGGAAGTGGGTGGACAGGTGGTGCCGCCGCGTCTGGCTGCCCGGCCGGGGCTCCCCCCTCCTGTCCAGTGCCAGGAACATGGGCTGGCCGTGGTGGCGCCAGCGCTGAGAGGCGTAGGTGTTGTGGCCGTTCTCTTCGATGCGCTCCCGGAACCTGCAGTCGACAGTGTAGAGCAGCTGATGGGGAGGTGAGGCAGCCGACCCTCCCCACCCGCCCACCCGCGCCGCCCAGCCCTGCCCGGCACTCACCGACCCATAGAGGCGGCCCCGGCGGTTCATGGCCACGTAGAAGCCTGAGGACACTGCTTTGATGGCCACGACACCCACGCGTACAGAGCGGATCTCCAGGACACCTGGGGGAGGCAGGGCTTTGCTGGCTCACACCTGCTCACACTGAGCGCTGCTGGGTGTCCACCGTGCTGTGTGCAGGGTCCTCAGGACCACGACAGGCACCAGAAGACCCCCCCACCCTTAGACCATGATGGATACCCGGGAGCAGCCTCGAGACCATGACAGACACCCAGGACCACCCCTGGAACCACAAGTCCTCTCCTGACCACAACAGACACCCGGGAGCCCCCTACCCCGAGACGGTGATGGATACCTGGGAATCCACCCAGCCTCCGGACCACGATGGACACTGGGAGCACCCCCCCCCAGGCCACGACAGATACCCAGGATCCTTTCGGGGACCACGATGGACACCCGGGAGCACCCCTGGGACCTCGAGTTCTCTCGACTATGACAGACACCCAGAACCCCCCTGCCCCTGGACCACGATGGACACCCAGGGGACTACGATGGACACCCAGGAGCACCCTTGAGACCACGAGGGACACCCAGGATCCTCCTGGGTCCACAACAGACACCAGGAGCACCCCCAGCACATGAGAGAGGAATAAGGCGCAGTCGGAAGGAACGGGAGGTAGGATGGCCCCCACAAGCTGGAGGGAGTGCAGGGATTGATGAGGACCCCAAGGGAGAGCCCACCGAGCCAGGTCAGCACTGTCCCTGCAGCTCAGACAAGAGCAGCATCTGTGCAGGGGTGTTGGGGGTCCTAGACACCCAGAGGGACACCCGGGGTGCAGAAACACAAGGAAGGTTGGGAGAGGGATGTGGGAGTCAGCGGGGCAGGGCCTGCCCAGACTGCTAACAGTAAATGGACCCAGTGACAAGCGCCACCCCATGGAGCCCCCAGTCCCGGCGCTAACAGCTCAGCAGCTCAGCCCACGCAGTCACTGGGGCTCAGAGCTCTGGACTGGAGGCCGGGGATTTATGGAACACCACAAGCATGCTTGGAGCACTGACTGTATGACAGTTGTTCTGTGCCCTCTGCAGCCCCAGGTGGGAGGTGCCAGCTGTGCCCACATTGCAGAGGGGCAGACAGACCCAGGAGTGGCAAAGCCAGATTTGGACCCATCATCCATGGGTGGCCCTGGGTGAGCCCTGCCCCAGCCTGAGCAGAAGTGTCTTGTCCAGCAAGGACCCTGGGCCCGGCCCGCACTCCTCACCCTGGTGCCCGCCCCTGCCTCAGCCAGGTGCACAGTTCTTCGTGTGCCTGGCCAGCTCCCTGTCAAAGGGCAGGCTCCTCAGGGCAGCCCGGCCCAGCCTTCCAGAGCACGTGGGAATGTTTTGGAGACCGTTCCATTGGCATCTGTCACCATCTGCCCCGCTGTTCCTCGCTCCACGCCTCCCCTCCCCAGCAGGGTGGTCCCAGCACCACCGTTCTCTTTCCTGTGCACCCACCTGCACCCTGTTCACATGTCTACCTGCTCTGGGAGCCCCAGGGCAGTGGCCATCTGTCACCGCTGGGTCCCCCATGTGCAGCACAGCACCCATGAGGTGCCGATGGGTGACCAGCGAGTGCACGCATGTCAGGAGAGCTCTCAGCTAGCCCTGACCCCATCACTATTGCAGTCCACGCAGGGGAGCCAGGCCTCTGCCCTGGCCCGAGGCCACCCCGCCTGGCCATGCCCGCCACGGATGGACCGGCCCAGCCAGTCCCCCATCCGCCCTCGTCGCGTGCAGCCTAATGAGGGCCTTGGCGCCCAGATGAAAGCGCTGGGAAGGGCAGAGGATGATTCAGGCAGCCGCCAGTGGCCCTGGCCCCCTCCCCAGTGCCCCTGCCCAGCAGGGACACAGACTCCCCTGGCCTCTGGGTTATGCCCACATCCCCTGCTGTGCCTGGCTCTCCTCTCCTTCCAGTCCACTCACACTGAGTGCCTGCTGTGTGCTGGGCAGGCCCTGGGGACGGGGACCCCACTTCGCCACCCGTCAGTGTGACCCTGGGGAGGTCCTGTCCCTTCTGTGGCCTCCTTGTCCTCACCTGCCACGTGGGGTGTCTGGGAAGAAGCAGAGAGGCCCCCACTCGGGCCGTGTGACTTGACTTTGTGATGTCAGGGGTCCGGAGGTCACCCAGACCTCTGCCCCCATGCAGCTGGGCCTGCCCCAGCTCCTCTGGAGCCTCAGTTTCCCACCTGCGGATGGAGTGGCCCCGCCCGCAGGACTGTTCCACACGGACCCTCTCCACCCCTGAGCCGGGCCCCCCACTGCAGCCTTCGCTTTAACAGCCCAACCCTCCCACGAGGCGGGCTGCGTCCATCGCACAGTCGGGGGAAACTGAGGCTGACGCTGCACGGAGGAGCCTCGGGGACTCCCCCGCGGGCGCGGGTCACCGTTATGCCGCTGGCCGTCACCCGCCGCCCCGCGCCCGGGCCCCCGCCGCCCCGCACTCACTGTCCTGGCCGTGGCGCCAGCGGGTGCCCTGGACGCGGCCGCGCGGGTCCACGCGCAGGAAGAAGTGAGTGGAGGAGAAGAGGCGCCGCCAGCGCACGTCGCCCTCCAGGTGCGGGTAGCTGCGCGGTTTCCGCGGCGCGCTCGGGGTTCTCGCGGCGCCCGGCGCCCGCGCCAGCAGCAGCCAGGCCAGGCCCAGCCACAGACGGCGGCGCATGGCCCGGCGCCCGGTCCGCAGCGGGCTCTCCGCTCCTGGGGTCCGCGGTTCTACCTTCGCTCGGCGGGGCCAATGGGACGCTTCGGGGGCGGGGCCCGGCAGAGGAGCTGACCAATGGGGCGCCTTGGGGGCGGGGCAGGAAAAGGTGCTGACCAATGGGGCGCCTCACGGGCGGGAGGGGGCGCGGCCGTGCAGGACGCTCGGCCTCCGCGCGTGTGTTTGTCTCGCGGGGCGTGTCCGTGAGTCAGCCGAGTCCCCGGGCGGGCTAGGACCTCGGGCTGCGGGGGCAGGAGCGTGGGACGCAGGCCGCAGAGACCCAGAGGGAGACGGACGAGACGGAAAAGAGAGACCAACGACCCAGACGAGGAACGCGGGGAAGATGGCAACGAGAGACAGGGACGCGGAAGGTCCTGCCCCTGCCAGCCCCTGCCAGCCAGGCTCCTGGGCACGCCGTGGTGGGACCTCTCCCCCCCCAGGTGGCACCTTCCTGAAAGCCAGGCTCACCAGAGTTGGGGATGCGGGTATAGGGGCAGGCAACGGCTGGGGACCTGTGTTTGGGCAGGTAGGTGGCGGGAGGGAGGATGGCCAGGTAGACTGTGGGTAGCCGGCTGGCAGGGCACATCGGAGGCGGCAGGAATGCGGCGGCCCTGTTCACACCCACACTTGCTCCTCAAAGCCACACCCCGGGACCCGCGGGGAACCACCCAGCAAGGTGGTTGGCCCCCACCCCTCCCCTGCCTGCCCCATGCCCTGGGCCCCAAAAGGTGAGCCCAGTGCCCCTCACAGACTCACAGCCAAGAGGAGGCATTGACAAGTGGGGAAACCGAGGCCTGAGAGAGACAGCGACCTCCAATGTGGGGACACAGGGCACAACCCCAGATTCCATTCCCTTCCCTTGGCTCCCAGCGGCCCAGTCCTGGTCCTGCAGCCACAGCCCCAGGTGACACGCACCTTTAAATAGCACCTGGGTGAAGACATGGTGACCAGCCTGTCCTGCCGGGGAACCCTCTGCAGGGACAACCGGTCCAGCTGGACGCCAGGATGCCTTCTTCGTGGCTCAGAGGTCTCCTGACCCTCTCTTCCTGGCTTAGGCGGGTCACACAGAGGGTGTGCCAGGTGCCACAGTCTCAGGACCCTGCTACTGAGATGAGGTCGGGGTCCCCGTGTCTGAGGTCCAGCCTGGCCTGCCTTCCCCCACTAGAGCCCTGAGGCCGGCACCCCAGGGACCCTGCAAGCCTCGCTCCACCTCCCCAAGCTTCGGTTCCGCCTCCGTGAAATGGGCTGGTAAAGAGCCATCTGGAGGAATAAAATGAGACCCTCCACGGACCATGCCGGGCAGAGGTCACAGCAGCAGGCACTGAAGAAACGTCCTCCACCTTCTCCCAGCAGGAGCCCAGGTCTTCCTTCCCGGAGTATCCGTGCCTGCCCAGAAGGGTGATCTGGGGCCCTGCGTTGAAGGACAGGGGATGAGAAGCACCCTGGGAGGCCGGCCCCACCCCAGGCGTCTGTTTCTCTAATGACTCCTTGAAACCTTCATTCACATACCACAAAATTCACCCACTTACACCCTGTGGCTCAGTGGTTTTAGTACCTCACAGCGCTGTGCAACCACCCCTGCTATCTAGTTCCGGAAAATTCCATCACCCCAAGAAGCCCCTTCTCCATCAACCATCACTCCCCATCCCCTCCGCCTGCCCTCCCCCCGCCCTGGCACCCACACATCCCCTTCCTGCCTCTGTGGACAAGCCTGTGCTGGACATTTCATAAAAAGGGGATCACATGCTGAGTGGCCTTCTGTGTCTGGCTTATCTCACTGGGCGTGACATCATCAAGTTGCATCCACGCTGCGGTGGGCATTGGAGCCTCGCCCCTTTTCACGCCTGTAATCCCAGCTGCTCGGGAGGCTGGGGCGGGAGAATCGCTTGAACCCAGGAGGTGGAGGTTGCAGTGAGCTGAGATCGAGCCTGGAGCCTTCAGAAGCTGGGAGAGGCAGGAAGGAGCCTTTGGGGCCTCTGGAGGGAGCAAGGTCTGCACACCCCTTGATTTCAGCCCAGTGTTTCCTGATTTAGGACTTCCCGTTTCCAGAAATGTAAGGAAATGAATGTTGCTTGGCCGGGCACCGTGGCTCAAGCCTGTAATCCCAGCACTTTGGGAGGCCGAGGCGGGTGGATCACGAGGTCAAGAGATCGAGACCATCCCGGTCAACAAGGTGAAACCCCGTCTCTACTAAAAATACAAAAAATTAGCTGGGCACGGTGGCGCGTGCCTGTAATCCCAGATACTCGGGAGGCTGAGGTAGGAGATTTGCCTGAACCCAGGAGGCAGAGGTTGTGGTGAGCCGAGATCGCGCCATTGCACTCCAGCCTGGGTAACAAGAGCAAAACTCCGTCTCAAAAAAAAAAAACAAAAAATTAGCTGGACATGGTGGTGCGTGCCTGTAGTCCCAGCTACTCAGGAGGCTGAGGCAGGAGAATCGCTTGAACCTGGGAGGCAGAGGTTGCGGTGAGCAGAGATCGTGCCACTGCACTCCAGCCTGGGCGACAAAGTGAGACTCTGTCTCAAAAAAAAAAAAAAATTAAAAAAATAAAAGGAATGTTGTTTTAAGGCACCAAGTTTGTGGTCATTTGTCACAGGGTCTACAGAGACCCGGGGCTGTCCCTTCCACGTAGCGATTCTTGATTTTCTGGGGTTGGTTTTGTTTTTTCTGTTTTTGTTTTTTGTTTTTGAGACAGTGTCCCTCTCTTGCTTAGAAGGGAGAGCAGTGGTGCAATCTCAGCTCACTGCAACCTCTGCCTCCCAGGTTCAAGTGATTCTCCTGCCTTGGTGTCCCAAGTAGCTGGGATTACAGGCACGCGCCACCACGCCTGGCTGATTTTTGTATTTTTAGCAGAGACGGGGTTTCACCATGTCGCCCAGGCTGGTCTTGAACTCCTGACCTCAGGTGATCTGTCCGCCTCGGCCTCCCAAAGTGCTGGGATCACAGGTATGAGCCCCCACGTGCGGCTGAGAGTAACTTTCTTGCCGCTAAGATTCGGGAACCTGGCTCTTGGGGAAACACTGGTTTAGGGGGTCTCACGTCTCATCAAACGGAACACTAACCCATAAGGAATGGTGAAATAGTTCAGAAGTCTTGGTCTCCACCTAGGTTCCTGGCTCTGCCAGCCTGCCGCAGTGCAGGGGACGTCTGTAGGTCTTGGGACACCAGGCCCTGCTCATTCAGGGCCTGGAAGGTAACCCAGCAGTGAATGAGGTCTGAGGTCACAGCCCGCTGGGGCACCCTGGGGTGGACTGAGGCGGCTGAGGGAGGATGCTGCTATCTGTTGAAAACATTCCCAGCCAGTGGCATCAGCGCACCCAGGCTGGCGTGGGCAGCAGCGTCTGGAATGTGCCGTAAGGAGGCTGCCAGGCGCTTCCAGAGTGAGGTGCAGTCCTCATTCTGGGCCGATGGGGAAAGTGATGCCAGCTTGAGCCGAGGCCTCCCGAGCCCCGTGTGGTTGTCCCCAGCCCCACTCTGCTCAGATTGCTCCTCCGTTCACACTTGTTCCTGCCTCAGGGTCTTCGCAGTTGTTTTGTTTCAAGACGGGGTCCTGCTCTTGTCACCCAGGCTGGAGTGCAATGGCGCGATCTCGGCTCACCGCAACCTCCGCCTCCTCGGTTCAGGCAATTCTCCTGCCTCATCCTCCTGAGTAGCTGGGATTACAGGCATGCGCCACCATGCCCAGCTAATTTTTTGTATTTTTAGTAGAGACGGGGTTTCACCATGTTGACCAAGGATGGTCTCGATCTCTTGACCACGTGATCCACCTGCCTCGGCCTCTTAAGTGCTGGGATTACAGGCTTGAGCCACGGTTCCTGCCCCCCCTTTTTTTTTTTTCCCAGTTTGGTAGAGACTGGATTTCACTATCTCAATTGCCCAGTCTGGTCTGGAAATCCTGGGCTCAAGTGATCCTCGTGCTTCAGCCTCCCCAAGTGCTGGGATTACAGACCTTGGGCACCGAACTGGCCCCCGTTGCACTTTTTATTTTTTGAGATGGTGTCTCGCTGTGGCATCCAGGCTGGAGTGCAGTGGCTCCCTGCAACCTCTGCCTCTGGGGTTCAAGCGATTCGCCTGCCTCAGCCTCCTGAGTAGCTGGGATTACAGATGCTCACCATCACCCCCCCAATAACGTTTGTATTGTTACTAGAAACGGGGTTTCAGCATGTTGGCCAGGCTGGTCTCAAACTCCAGACCTCAGGTGATCTGCCTGCCTTAACCTCCCAAAGTGCTGGGATTACAGCATGAGCCACTGAAACGGCTCCCCTTTGCACTTGTGACATCAGCTTGGAACGCAGTTACCCCCAGATATTCCTAATCTCACGCTTCACAGCCGGTGCTCCCCACTCTGGGCTGTTCCCCCTGCTGAAGGACACAGGTGGGCCCGCCTTCCAGGTTCCATTCCAAAGCTCCGGCCCTGCTTGTCCTGGGGAGGATCACGGGGACACCAGGACAGGTTCCAGGCGCCGGGGGTTATTTCATTCCCATGACCTTGCCCCACTTAGCAGGTGAATCCACGCCCGCTGCTCCATTCTGCCCCTGCCCACGGGCCTGGGGACTGCAGGGTAAACTGATGCTGGAGGCTGGAAGTCTCATGGACTCGGGGCTTTCTCTCCTTCCAGCCTCCCCGAGGTCGCGCGTGCTGTGTCTCCGCAACTTGGTCGGCAGCCCCGAGCCTTCGAAGCCTCCACGAAGACGGGATCCTAATGGCTGTTACCCAAGAACTGTCATTGGAGCAATGAAGGCTGCAGACAGGAATCTCTAGATTGGAGACACTGTCCTCATGATGACACGAGTATTCCATATTTATTTATTTATTTATTTATTTAAAGACGGGGTTTCACCATGTTGGTCAGGCTGGTCTCGATCTCTTGACCTCGTGATCCACCCGCCTCGGCCTCCCTAAGTGCTGGGATTACAGGCTTGAGCCACCGCGCCGGGCCTGATTTATTTATTTATTTAAAGACGGGGTTTCACCATGTTGGTCAGGCTGGTTTCAAACTCCTGACCTCAGGTGATCCACCCACCTCGGACTCTTGAGCCCAGCAGTTCGAGGCTGCGTTGAGCCATGATCGCGCCACTGCACTCCAGTCTGGGCCACACCACGTCCAGAAAAAAAGAAAGAAAAAGAGAAAGCGTGTCCCGGGGTGAGGTCCTCGCGAAGACAGCCTGAGTCCATCCCCAGTTACCACGGCAATCTTTCTGTCCCGCCCCCTCCTTGAAGACAGCGAGCGGAGCCAATCCGAGCGCTCTGCCGGCGCATGCCTTCGCGTCTCCGGGCTCCGCTGCATTCCGGGAGTTGTAGTTCTGGAGGTTCACTTCCGGCCTCGGCGTCCCTTTGCGGCCGCCGTCGGCCACGAAGCTACAACTTCCGCCAGCCGGGGCGGACGCATGCGCAGGCGCGGGCTGCGGCGGCGGCGGCGGCGGCGGCGGCGGCGGCGGCGGCGGCGGCGGCGGCGGCGGCGCCCGAAGTCTCGTGCGCGATGGCGGTTCTCTGGGGCCGCGGTGCGGCGCGTTTCGGACGGGGCTTGTGGCCCTGCGGCCGCCCAGGGCTCCCCGCCGAAGAAGGTAAAGCGAAGGGAGGCGGTCAGGTAGCCCGGGGGCCGCGCCGCGGCCGCTCCTCCTCGTGCGGCCGTCCTGTTTGGCTTTTCTCGCTCATGGGGGCCTTTGGCGCTTTGCCCTTTGCCCTTTGCGGCTGGGTGTGCGGGGTCCCCCGACCGAGCCCCTCTTTCCGCTCTCCTGGCGGAGTCCGCTCAGGGCACTCTGACCTTTGACTCGTCCTGTAGCCTCCTGACCCCCCGTGTGGGGTTCAGGGCTCTTCACCTCTGACCCTCTGCACCCGGAGTGCGAGGAGCCCGTTCTCCGCGGTTCTGCGCCGTGTTCGCCGCGCCGGGGCCCTTCCCACCTTCGGTCTCCGACTTCAGGCCGGTGCTCAGCGACTTTCCGCTGCGGTGACGGCTCTTTTGCCCTTCCTTCCGCCCCGCGGCCTCTGCCCGCACGCCCGGCCCGCCTCAGCCGCCCTCGTCTCTCCCGCAGGGACCCTCGGTGGCCTCTGCGGCCCCAGGAGGAGCTCGTCCGCCAGCCCCCGGGAGGACCGCAGGAAGGACTGGGGCCACGTGGAGCTGCTGGAGGGTGAGCGCGACCCAGCACGGCGAAGCGGGGAGAGGACATTCCGCTCCCGGCTGCCGGGAGGAAAGGCGGAGGCTCAGACTGAGACAGGTTGAGGGCGATCTCCACCTCTCCGGTCCCAGGACCCGCCCAGACGGCGTTGCTGGAACCTCCTGGGCCGGGTCCTTGCCGAGCAGGCTCCTAGGGCTCTCATAATCTCCCCTTCCCAGAACCTCACCAGGTATCCCCACTTTCCAGGGACACAGGTGAAGCCCAAGGTTATGTCCGGAGAGACCCCCCCGCCCAACATGTACAGAGCCAGGACCTGAACCCTGAACTGATTCCGCTTGTCTGCCCTGGCTCTCTGGGGGTGGGCGCCTGATGGAGCCTGGATGACTGCGGGGCTTGTGAGGGACAGCCCGGGTCCGGTGGTGCCAGGTCCTCGGCCTGGCCTGGCCCGTGGTGTCGGAGGGAGGCGGGGGTTCTCTGCGCTTGCTTCCCGCCGACGCTCCTGT